GAGAGAGAGAAAAGAATTCAGATCCACATATCACATACATCTGTTAACGATCAGCAACAACGAGTATGGTGGTTCTTTAGCCACCTATGAGTTCTATGAATCAAACGGCAGTCTCTGTCTGAGGTTAGGTTTCTGTCGTTGGAGAGGCACGACTACGCTTAGCTAGATCCTCATCGAAATCGCTATTTGACGGTCGTTTTCGTCGTACGAACATATCTCCACCACCAGCAGCAGTGGTTTCCTCTTCACCACTTGTGGATGAAACATCATCATCACAAGGCGAAAGGTCACCAGATGGTGGAGCTGGAGCGATTTTCGTTGTTTCCGATCCGGCACTGCCGTCGGTCTCGGTAGTAGAACCGAGCTGAGCCGGGACCGGACTTCCGGTTGACGAGGATGGGAGTGCGTCGTTGGGCGCACTGTTTTCATCTTCGTCTGAATCGGATTCGTCGTAGTCGACAAGGGACTAAAAACATAACGATATGAAAATCAAACTCTATGCACATAATGCCAGTTTCGTAGTCATTTATAACGCGTTATGCGTACTGCACATCATGCGCGCCACTTGACAAGTTGCGAAACTGAAACACCCATTTCCGGGCTTTCTCCTTGTTTTCTTCCGCGTCTGCTTTGATTGGGACATATCAGTTAGCAGTACAAATTGCTATAGTTTGTTACAGAAAAGTTTCACTAAGGATTAGTAGAAGTGTCGTCGTCTGGCGCGCATGTGTGCAGACTCACAGATTGAGTTATCGTTGATTCGTTGACCGTACGGACTGCAGACCACTGCGGAGCACGAGCCGCGTGATAAACGCTCGCCCCAGTGGAAATCCGCTGGTGTACAAGTCGTTCTCCCGCTGCATTTCAACGCCGCGCGCAGTACACGCGTTCGAGCAGTCCGTGCGGTCAACGAATCAACGATACAAATGCGAGGATAAGTCTGTTTCAGATGATTACCAATTTTCTTGAACATGGCAACATCAATGATGTGGACTAAAAAATAAGACTAGGTGAACAAAACTCAGTTGTTAAATGAAAGCGCCTACCGATCAAAGTCCATCGAGTACCTACGGAAAAAATTAAACTGGTAAGACAGGGTTCTTTCAAATCAACGATTACAGAATATTTTCACATAGTATCGTAACTACGGTATTCAATGTAGAACGTTCGTAAAAAAAGGAGTGAAATAGAACATGAAATATTTGGCGAGATATACAAACTAAACGCTGTGCGAAAAAAAATGATACAGGAAAAATAAAGGATGCAATCAAACTGATTTGCAAAAAAAGGAAAACAAAATATTAAAACACTCACCTTGATGCTCATTGATGGACTATTTTCTTTGCTATGATTTTGCGAAGACGATACTTCATCATCGCGAGCTTGAGGGGTTGGTGACACTGAGGTGGATGAACAAGGAGACCCAAGAGGAGATGGTGTCCGCGATCGATCGTTCATCTGAAAAAATCGAATTAATTTTGGTTTTCCTCGTCATAAATTACTAGATCTACCTTGATCACAATCTTCTTTTCAGACTGCGCATTGACAGGTGCTAGCGGAGTTGTTGGTTGACCGCTGAACACCGCGCCATCGTCCTCATCGAAAGCATTCTTTCGCTTGAGCACTGATGGGAACATTGGCTCGATGCCAGTTTTTCTTGGGGTATCATCTCGTTTTGCTTCTTTCTTCTCTGCTGCTTCTTTCTTCACTTCAGTTTCATCTTCATCGCCATCAAACCACTGTTCTTCCTGGGAAAAAATATTCCAATCAATGTCAACGTTTACAAAAAAGTCAGATCCCCCATTACCTGTCTCTCCTTGGCGAAGGCAGCCGGACTCGGCACACGTTCATCTTTCACTGCATTCGCTGCTTTTTCACGATCACGTTGTTGTTCATACCGAATCTTCAACTCAGAGAACAATTTCACATAAGTGACATCTTCGAAAGCAGCCATGTGATTCTCGACAGTGTACTTTACCAGTGGTTTTATGTCCTCCTATAATGAATGCCTTTTCGTCACAAAAATCGAAACCAGTACCAA